ATGATTTGCTATCATATCATCTTAGCCTGCTGCCACCGCTGCTTAATATTGAGCGACTTGTTTATTCGACTGAATTATTCGACTGAACTATTCGACTGAAGTATTCGACTGAACTATTCGACTGAAGTATTCGACTGAACTTTTCGACTGAATTATTCGACTGGTTTATTCGACTGGATTATTCGACTGAACTAACTGACTGATTTTATCGACTGGACGAGGCCACATGAAAATGTCAAATACCTCATCCCCCCCCCCGCCCCACCCCATCCCCTTTCTTCGTCCATATCATATATAGGGACTCTATTCTTTTCGAGGCGGACAAGGACAGCTGTCTAGTCTTTCGGATGGGACGAAAAACCGAGGTCCCGTGTATACATTGGAGTGGACGTAAAAGATCCCTTTGACAGATGGAATTCGATATAAGAGTAGGCCGTAGTGCCGCTGTCCGGGCAAAATTTCCCTCATCGCACAGTGTATGGCGTCTGCCCGTCTTCATTAGCCCAGTTCCAAGCAGAACAGAAGGACGTTAAACCCCATTTCATTTCTTTTCATTTCTTGAAACTAGTTGGGAAGCCCCCCGGTCCCTACCCCATGCCCCCGGCTCCTTCAGCTATGGCTACGAGCATGATTTGCTACTATATTATCTTAGCCCGCTGCCACCGCTGCTTAATATTGAGCGACTTGTTTATTCGACTGAATTATTCGACTGGATTATTCGACTGAATTATTCGACTGAACTATTCGACTGGTTTATTCGACTGAACTTTTCGACTGAATTATTCGACTGGTTTATTCGACTGGATTATTCGACTGAACTAACTGACTGGTTTTATCGACTGGACGATGCCACATGAAAATGTCAAATACCTCACCCCCCCCCCCCCCGCCCCACCCCATCCCCTTTCTTCGTTCATATCATATATAGGGACTCTATTCTTTTCGAGGCGGACAAGGACAGCTGTCTAGTCTTTCGGATGGGACGAAAAACCGAGGTCCCGTGTCTACATTGGAGTGGACGTAAAAGATCCCTTTGACAGATGGAATTCGATATAAGAGTAGGCCGTAGTGCCGCTGTCCGGGCAAAATTTCCCTCATCGCACAGTGTATGGCGTCTGCCCGTCTTCATTAGCCCAGTTCCAAGCAGAACAGAAGGACGTTAAACCCCATTTCATTTCTTTTCATTTCTTGAAACTAGTTGGGAAGCCCCCCGGTCCCTACCCCATGCCCCCGGCTCCTTCAGCTATGGCTACGAGCATGATTTGCTACTATATTATCTTAGCCCGCTGCCACCGCTGCTTAATATTGAGCGACTGAATTATTCGACTGGATTATTCGACTGAATTATTCGACTGAACTATTCGACTGGTTTATTCGACTGAACTTTTCGACTGAATTATTCGACTGGTTTATTCGACTGGATTATTCGACTGAACTAACTGACTGATTTTATCGACTGGACGAGGCCACATGACAATGTCAAATACCTCATCCCCCCCAACCCCGCCCCACCCCATCCCCTTTCTTCGTTCATATCATATATAGGGACTCTATTCTTTTCGAGGCGGACAAGGACAGCTGTCTAGTCGTTCGGATGGGACGAAAAACCGAGGTCCCGTGTGCACATTGGCGTGGACGTAAAAGATCCCTTGACAGATGGAATTCGATATAAGAGTACGCCGTAGTGCCGCTGTCCGGGCAAAATTTCCCCCATCGCACAGTGTATGGCGTCTGCCCGTCTTCATTAGCCCAGTTCCAAGCAGAACAGTAGGACGTTAAAACCCCATTTCATTTCTTTTCATTTCTTGAAACTAGTTGGGAAGCCCCCCGGTCTCTACCCCATGCCCCGGCTCCTTCAGCTATGTCTAAGAGCATGATTTGCTATCATATCATCTTAGCCCGCTGCCACCGCTGCTTAATATTGAGCGACTTGTTTATTCGACTGAACTATTCGACTGAAGTATTCGACTGAACTATTCGACTGAAGTATTCGACTGAACTTTTCGACTGAATTATTCGACTGGTTTATTCGACTGGATTATTCGACTGAACTAACTGACTGATTTTATCGACTGGACGAGGCCACATGAAAATGTCAAATACCTCATCCCCCCCCCCCCGCCCCACCCCATCCCCTTTCTTCGTTCATATCATATATAGGGACTCTATTCTTTTCGAGGCGGACAAGGACAGCTGTCTAGTCGTTCGGATGGGACGAAAAACCGTGGTCCCGTGTATACATTGGAGTGGACGTAAAAGATCCCTTTGACAGATGGGATTCGATATAAGAGTAGGCCGTAGTGCCGCTGTCCGGGCAAAATTTCCCTCATCGCACAGTGTATGGCGTCTGCCCGTCTTCATTAGCCCAGTTCCAAGCAGAACAGAAGGACGTTAAACCCCATTTCATTTCTTTTCATTTCTTGAAACTAGTTGGGAAGCCCCCCGGTCCCTACCCCATGCCCCCGGCTCCTTCAGCTATGGCTACGAGCATGATTTGCTACTATATTATCTTAGCCCGCTGCCACCGCTGCTTAATATTGAGCGACTTGTTTATTCGACTGAATTATTCGACTGGATTATTCGACTGAACTATTCGACTGGTTTATTCGACTGAACTTTTCGACTGAATTATTCGACTGGTTTATTCGACTGGATTATTCGACTGAACTAACTGACTGGTTTTATCGACTGGACGAGGCCACATGAAAATGTCAAATACCTCATCCCCCCACCCCCGCCCCACCCCATCCCCTTTCTTCGTTCATATCATATATAGGGACTCTATTCTTTTCGAGGCGGACAAGGACAGCTGTCTAGTCGTTCGGATGGGACGAAAAACCGAGGTCCCGTGTCCACATTGACGTGGTCGTAAAAGATCCCTTTGACAGATGGAATTCGATATAAGAGTAGGCCGTAGTGCCGCTGTCCGGGCAAAATTTCCCTCATCGCACAGTGTATGGCGTATGCCCGTCTTCATTAGCCCAGTTCCAAGCAGAACAGTAGGACGTTAAAACCCCATTTCATTTCTTTTCATTTCTTGAAACTAGTTGGGAAGCCCCCCGGTCTCTACCCCATGCCCCGGCTCCTTCAGCTATGTCTAAGAGCATGATTTGCTACCATATCATCTTAGCCCACTGCCACCGCTGCTTAATATTGAGCGACTTGTTTATTCGACTGAATTATTCGACTGAACTATTCGACTGGTTTATTCGACTGAACTTTTCGACTGAATTATTCGACTGGTTTATTCGACTGGATTATTCGACTGAACTAACTGACTGATTTTATCGACTGGACGAGGCCACATGATAATGTCAAATACCTCATCCCCATCGCCCCCCTAACCCAACATATCATATATAGGGACTCTATTCTTTTGGAGGTGGACAAGGACAGATGTCTAGTCGTTCGGATGGGACGAAAAACCGAGGTCCCGTGTACACATTGGCGTGCACTTAAAAGATGGGGGCATATGGGGATGAGGGAAAAAGTCAAGCATGACTTTATTAAGCCGCGGTGGCAATAACTAAGATAACACCTTAAAGTTTTAATTTGAACAATCAAATTTGAACATGAGGGGACGTAAAAAATAAACAAAAACAATGATAAAAGATATTGGAATTAGTGCGTTTTTTCTTTAACTTATACAGATTACAAACGATTCCAAAATTTTAATAAGCCATCGACCGGTTTATTCGACTGACTATTTGTTTTGGACTAAGGGTCGACTCAGTCTTGATGGTCCAGATGTATATGTGACAATCAGGACTACCAAATATCCTTATGAAACTAAACATACGAAACGAATATTAAAATAGGCCAGATATATGTAAAAGAAAAAAATATGTAGAATTCTAATAACATCTCTCATGTTATTCCAGTCCGTTGAACTGATCTATAATGGCTTATAACATTAAAATTTTATCAAATTAAAACATTTCCTTTATGTGACATGTAAATATTGCTCCAAAATTTGAACACTAGGTTAAACATAGACTAAGCTATCCAGTCTTTAAAAAAATGATCTTCCTCGCGCTTAGTGATGCAAGCCACAACGATTCTAAACAACCATATTTCAATAAATTGTTTGATTATGATTTTAATATTGTTAAAATCTCTTTGAAAATTATTATCAGGGTAGTTTTAATGATGCATATGAAATTTAGAAATGGCAGCTGTCCTTATAAATCATTCATAATATGGGGAGTCAAAGTGGATCAGTGCGTAAGGTGCTGGCTCGTCGCTGCTGATGACCGACCAAGTTCTGCGTGATTTTCAGTGGGTAGTGGTAAAAAGTCAAAATAAACTATCTCTTTTTAATCATCCAATTGTTAACACTATATAGACTAAATGAAAAGATCAGAATTTCCCGTTTTGTTTTGTTGGGTTTTTTTTGGGGGGGGAGGGGGGTATTATTATTTTAAAAAAAAAACAAAAAAACAAAAAAACATTCCATCGAGAAGTTTTGGTCATTATTTTAATCCTTAGCATCGTTCTGAATTACTGGATATTTCAAACAGGAAATGTAGCAGTAATGTACTTTAATGTAGTTTCGTCACTTAAAAACATGAAATTAGACTTTTACAAAGTTGAATAAAATTACATGTGTAAAGAAGGATGAGAAGGTAATTGAATGCTTGCGATTCGGTATCTTTCCAGTTTTCGTGCAACATTTGGTTTTTAACGTCCACTAGTGGTATAACATACCAAGTGTGGCGAGTGTTGTATATTAATAATATTTTAAGCGACCTGGTAACAAAGACTAAATAAAATTGGTCCTTGACCTTGAAGTCTGACACGGAAGTGAAAATAATTTCATCTCCGCATTATGATTTATAAATATTTGATTTTCAAAAGACATTAAATTTTCTACATACAACGACTTATTAAACGACAAGACGTTATTTAGTCTTTTTTTCAATGTTTTAGCTATAACACAAATCATAATCACTACATTTTATCCAAAATATTTTTCTTGATATATTTGCTGCGGAGATTCACCGGCACGGAGGGTAAAATGGCGTCGTTGCAAAAGAAGAAAGATGGGAGTCCTAATAACAAATTCTTTGAATCAGTGGAAACAATTGCTCAGTTTGACTCCGTTAGAACATGGCTGCACAAAAACGGGAGAAAGGTATACATTGATGCAAAAGAAATCTCCCAAATTGTTGTTATTTCATGTCCCATTTCTGTACAACAGAGTCCGGGCCTCCGACTTCTTTGTTCTTCTCATTAAATTTCTACAGTTGTCTCGATCTTCTTACTTAATTAGCCAATTAGGCAGCGCCACCATAAATAAATATCTCCAAATATCTAAAAATATTTCGACAATTATACCGCAATAATTATATATATATATATATATATTACAAACCCTAACTTAGTTTGTCACATAAATAGTCACTAAATAAACGGTCATGTTCACGTTGTATTTTAACAAGTTTTCAGCTAGTTACTCTTAGTTATGGTATTCAATTTGTGCCCAACGAAGGAGCTTCGGAAATATTAATTGTACTAAACCAAAAGATGCTGCTCCTAACCGTATGTCTGTAGTTAATGATAAACAAATTAAAAAATAATATTACTGTAGGTACGCCAGTGAAGCAGTGAACTGCTGACGTAATTTCGTTGTCGCGAGTCACGCTTCAGATACGCCAGTGCAATTTGCGTATCGGCTTTTCTTCCTCGTCGTATTGTTGATTGGTACGTAAATAAAAGGCAGCTTTTCGCCTCGTTTTCGAATTTTTACTCTAGCTGCTCCGTGTGCAGAGAAATCTAAACATGAAAATGAAAGCAGAAAACAACACGATTTTTGGGACGGATACCAGAATAGCATAGGGTTAAAAATATATAGATTAGAAAATCTCCTTGACCACCATGTAAGAAAGTTAGTGAAATTATACCGCTAGTGACTGCATGTGATGGTCTCACTTTTCCTTCTTTGTTCTTCAGACAAAAAGGGCGTTAATTAGCGATAATTAATTTGGCATAACTCCATAATTATAGGGCCTCTCAAACTCATTTTGGCGTCATTGTAAAGCTGTTTGACAGCCCTATCCAGAAATAACAGAATTAAAGCCATACGGGATAGTTGAATTTTTTGTTGCCATACCTAATTACTGTTCATTCAGAATCGTTAACAATAGATTTTTTATGGCTGTAATAGTTGATAGATGTTTATAGTCTAATAGAATCTACTCCATGTTATGCACATGGTCAGTGTCTGCTCTGTTACTCTAATCATTTGACTTTATAATGTGAACATTCGCCACAGCGATTTCAACTTTTAATAGAGCAAATTTTGACTGCTTCAATTGATTTTTTTTGTTATGGTTTTCAATTCCTATGTATTATCAATCAAAATGATAATGGAAATGTAATTTATGGGTATACAGACAACTCATCCCAAAGACAACTCATTCCAATATACAGCAACTCATCCCAAGATAAAAGACAACTCATCCCAACTTTAAAACATGGGTCGAGATACAAGACAACTTATCCCAACAAATATAAGTGTTAAGTTATATTTCTTTTAATACAATTGCTTTCTTTGAAGACGACTCAGATCAATCTGATTTTGTTATGAAAATGTGTTATCTTAATAAAATTGATATTGTTGTTTTAATCAAATTGATATTGTTGTTTTAAGTATAGGATGCTCTGTATACAGTACTTATCATAGCATACACATTTCAATTCCTTCTTAGAACCATACATGCGACTTCTTCTTGGGAGGAGTTGTCTTATGTTGGGAGGAGTTGTCTTATGTTGGGATGAGTTGTCTTATATTGGGATGAGTTGTCTTTGGGATGAGTTGTCAGGTATTCAATTCATGGATGTAACACTGGTTCATCAATTCATTTATTATAAACAAGATATCAAATGAAATCAATGGTGTCTCTGCAGTTTCTTAATGTTCAGCGTGTCTGCTGTTACCATACCATGATAAAATGAAAAATTTGTCGGGACATGTTTTCATAAGAGAAGCTATAGGCTGTTATTTCTTGAAAGTAACCAACAACACAATGCAACTTGAAATTTCCATTAAAGATATTTCACACTGTGGAATTTAAATATGCAAGTTAAAAATCAATTTCAAAACATAAAACATAGTCTGTAAGGTTCTAAAGGAAAGGTTTCTCAACTTGCTTTGTTTACATACCGATAACTCACAAATTGAGTGACTAACAAAACTACATGGATGGTAAACTTATATATTTTTCAACTTCTTCAGATAATAATATCCAAAAGAGTAAGTTTGAAGGCACATTTTTAGGTGCATCAAAGTAATAATAGACATCTTATGTGCACATACATGGAATGCTGAAAAAAGATAATGTGCACTTTGTGGGAGAAATATGTAGGCCTTTGTCTCTATTTTCTTAAAAAGTGTAACAGTATGTCAGATAGTTTGTATTGCTCCAGAGATACTTTTTTCCTGAAAGCTAGTTTGATGATTTTTAAGGAATTAACCATAAATGTTCGTTTATATTTTTCAGTACACTCAAGCCGATCCACCCACCAACAAAGGTTTAGCCAGCCTAACAGTACAACTTTTACAGTTTCAAGAAGAAACTTTTGGCAAACAAAATGCCAACCCACCACTTACAAAATTACCTGTATGAATAATTTTTAAATCTTTTTTCTAAAATAAAGTACATATCTATGGTGATTGGTACAGAACTTGATAGTATTCATTTTTATCTCGGTGTGATCAATAGATGCAAAATATATTGCTTTTTAAATATATAACAGCAAAAACAAACTGAATTCATAAGAAAAGAAAATATTGACCATACACTTTGAAAATATTAGTGCACCAGTATTGGGAAATATAATTATTTTTATTGTATTTTTTTAGATGAAATGTTTTATGGACTTCAAACCGAATGGTGGCCTGTGTAATATATTTCTTGCAGTGTTTAAATTTAAAAGTGACCAGGGATGGTAAGATTCTTAAATCTTTTGCTCTGTTAACTAGAATTTTTTGTTTTAATTAATTTCGCTATCACAAGTTTCAGTAAAGTTTTCAGGTGGTTAATCGACTAGATCTGTCGTCAAAAGAAACTTGAGAATATTTTAGCATGGCCAACCATTGCCAGAATTAGTATCTGGTGGGAATTGGCAATTAGTTGAAATTGGGAATTATACATCACTTCTTTTTAGAGTTGGATTTTGCGTGTATGTGAAATGGCTTTATATAATGTCTGCTTCCACCGATTCTGGATTCTGTGGCGTCGTTACAATGTTTGTTTTAAACCCTACGAATCAAAATGGAATGATGTGTTTGTCTCAAAATATTTCTGTATCACACTTACATTAAATCTTATTCTAAAGCTTTAGTTTGGCAGTGAATCTTTATGTAGCCTGGAGGTCGGGTGTTCGATCCCTGCATTGGCCAAGAAAGTTCATCCAGAGTTTCCGGTGTGGTTCCCCCTTGTCAGTGATGCAGGACGGAGGGCCTGACAAGGACAGCTGTCAAGTCGTTCGGATGGGACGAAAAACCGATGTCCCGTGTACACATTGGCGTGCACGTAAAAGATCCCTTGACATTTTGAATTTGATATAAGAGTAGGCCGTAGTGCCGCTGTCCGGGCGAAATTTCCCTCATAGCACACTGTATGGCGTATGCCCGTCTTCATTAGCCCCGTTTGGAGCAGAACAGTATTACGTTAAACCCCATTTCATTTCATGAATCTTTATGTCAACAAAAACCATTAAAGAGTGTTAATAGATTTTACTTATTAAAAGATTTTATGTTAGAGCATTATTTAATGATGTATTTGTTGGAATGTAATTAGAAAAAAAATATCTTTTTCTTCAGGAGAAGATTTGATCTTCAATCTCCATCTAGAATGGACAGAAATGTAGAAATGTTTATGAACATTGAAAAAGCTTTGATTCATAATAAATGTTTGACTTTGCCTGCCATCCATATTCGTTCTGATGTCGACAGAATCCTTGTCCCCAAATTGAAAGACATCATCAAACGACATCAAGGAACTCTAGCTGATAGTGCTGATAATGCTACTCACATAGTGTACACACTACCATCACAATCTCCTCCAGATGGTAAGTCAACAGTATCCACCTGTTTTAATTCCGGGAGCTGCCGTGGTTCAGTGAGTAAGACATTGGCTTGCTAACCAGGAGATCCAGTGTTCGATCCCCGTGTTGGCCGAGAAACTTCATCACGATTTTCCAGAGTGGTTTCCCCTTGTCAGTGATGTAGGACAAATTGGTATTTGGGCTTTGGGCTGTATGCAGGTGGAATGGTAAACCCCATATGTAGAAGAGATTATTTCTCATTAAAATTTAGGACTGTATTATCTTCACAAGATGCCATTAACTTGTGAGCAAACCAGTGACCAATCAGTACATTGTAAATCACACATGCACATATATGTTTTTATCTTATATGTGTCCAATACTATATAGAGAGATTAACTATTAGATTATTTATAGCCAGGATGATTAATTTTAACTAATCATGTCAATCATGGGCCTTGAGTTTGGGTATTTTAATTTAGATGTTTTGATTGTTTAAAAATAGCATGTTTAGACTTATAGCTTTGTACACATTTTCACAAATTAATTTTCTTCATTGCAGAAGACTTTTTCCGACCTATATTAAAACGAGATAAATATACAATGGTACATTGGTGGTACACACCTGACAGGTGAGTTGTTCTTAGAATTGATATCAGTCAATACCTTTTTGAGAATATTTATTAAAAACAACCAGTGTTTGGTACATTATTTAGTGGCCAAATGGTTAGCACGTACGTGTTGTATCATAAGGTCTGACATTGAGTCAGTGGATCGTGGTTTCGATTCCCCGGTTGTGCGTGACAAGGAGTAGGGTCGTCTGTCCAACCTTGTTGGTTTTCTCCGGTTTCCTCCCACTGCTAAAGACCCCTACGCGCAAGCAAATTATTGAAATAAAATTGAACCATATGTTAGTCCCAAAATGACCTAGTTTGTGTTGAGTCGTCGTTAAACCCCATTTCCCTCTACCTCTCTCTCTATTATACTCCTCTATTGCCATTGGTCAAGATAACATCAAAAGAATCATAGCAACGCACATGGGAACGGCTGTTGAATCTTTTGGTCTGAAATAAAAATAAGAGTTGTTTTCTGTTTGTAAATAAATATCAGCGTAATTTTTTTGGTTCAGTTTACATTCTTTATTGGAACAAACTATAATGGACTATAGTGAATAGCTAAAAAGCCGAACAACATCATACCTGCAGTCCTAGAAAAATTATAATCGTGTCGTTTTAAATCATAATAGTTTTCATGTGATCGTCTCATGCCTCGTGACAGACACAATGGACACAGGCTGATGAAGCCTTTATAAACTACTAGCATCTGAAGCTTGTAGTTTCTTGTCTTATATATGTTAAAGTTTGTAGTAATTCAGGAATAAATTAATTTCCATTTTGTTTACAGTTATGATATGTGGGTGAGTGATCCACCTATAGATTATGACCCAGAAACACCAAGTTCACATCAAGGTCCATGGGAGGTAAGTAGACACTAATTACATGTAACGCTACATTTTTATATTACATGTGTAATACACAAATGTACATACAAATTTGCTTCTTCTCTCTATATTCTTGAACTTTCTACAAGTATTTGTATTATTTTTTAAGTATAATGTTATTAATTTTGTATTACAGGTAACCGCTCGATGGTTATTAGATTTAGAAGAATTTAATGAATGGATGAATGAAGAAGATTACTTGGCCGAAGATGAATTTAATGTAAGTATTTGTTTTTTAAAACTATTCTACTTTGATCTCTATATCTTTTTGTTGGAATGTGGGTGAAGCCCAGTTTATACTTGTAGGTGGTGACGCCCACTACATTGACAATGAAATCTTGTTTGTAAAACAGAGAAAGTGTGTCTGAAAGTTGGGATATGACAGAAAAAAAAGTCCCATGTTTAACTTGATACATGCCTTGATTAGTAAATTCAGCTGTCTCTTCCACCCTGGCATTGAATACATTACAATGAAAATATATTTATTGCATGTTTATCATGCAATGAGGAAAGTATAGTGCCAAAAAAAAACATTTAACACCATTCAGTTGCCAAATTAATAAAACATAATCTTACTAAATACTGGTTAATCTGGAAAAATGTTCTATTTGTATAAATGTTATACAATTTAGTATAATTGCCTTTCTTTTAGGGTGAGGTTCCTGGCAAATCAAAAGACAAAGTTAAAAAATCAAACCGACTTAAGCTTACAGTAGATGATGTAAGTATATGATATACAAATACATAAAAAAACCTGTTGGTTAATGAAAAATCCTTGTTCTGTTGTGTGATGAGGAATTTGTCAAATATGTTTTATATCATAACTAACTTTCCCTTCGAGACCAGCCATACTAGCCACAGTGACTGTGTTATACATTTGACCTAGATTCCATAAGCTTAAGTTGAAACAAAAAGAAGGTGAATTTCTACCAGCAGAATAAATTAAATAAAATCTTGTATCTATTTTATGAGAATACTAATATATGTATCGTTTGTTTGATTTTAGTTAAATTCAGACTCTGAAAGAAGAGATAAAAAAGATAAGAAAAGTAAAAGAAAAAGATCACCATCTCCTGTTCCTGAAAAAAAGAAAAGAAAAAGGTATGTACATAATTTGCATTAGTGTATTATGGTTTGGGAAATGAAAAACCCCATGACCGTCATAGGTTCCAAGTACTGTTCAGGTTCCCAAGAACCTGCTTGAAATATTAACCCGAAATATCTCAGTCATCAGGGGTTACACCAAGGTGTCTAGATGTTTGTATTGTACAAAAATACTTCCTTGGATGCTAGTGGGAAATTCAAGAAGAGAAGATGGATTCAATGTTGCATACATTGTCAATTGCCCATTGGAGGGAAAATTACTTTACATCCAAATCATAGATTTAGAGTTATAATTTCTGATTTATGGTAATTTATCCCCTTTTGGATCAGATCATCTTCCCAATTGAATTTTATCAAGATATTTTTATTTGTTGCCCCCCTTCTTTGAAAACTATTAATTACTATTTTCTTGTTGCCAGTGCTAGAACTCCAGGTGGTGCCAGTTCCACTAAGAAACGGTCAATGAGAGAAGAAGAAGAGGAAGAAGATTTAACAAAAGATATGGATGAGCCATCACCTGAACCTAATATACAGGAAATACATATTGCTAAACAAGTTACAGGTTCTAGAAGTCAGAAAGATAGTGAACTACAACCCATTAAAGGTGCTACATTGATGGATTTAGATGAAGACACCAGTGACAAGGTAAGTTGTACATATTATCTAATAGACAGAGGGGTTGTATGGCTGAATGGTTAGTGCGTGTGCATTGTATCATACAGTTTGTCATTAGTCAACTGCCGTAGTTTCAATTCCCCGTTTGTACGTGACAAGGAGTAGGGTCGCCTGTCCAACCTCATGGATTTTCTCTGGGTCCTGTTTCCTCCCTCTGCTACAGATGCCTATGTGCAAGCGAATTATTAAAATAAAATTGAACCATTTATTAATCTCTAAATGATCTGGTTTGTGTCGAGTTGATGTTAAACCCCATTGTGTAATGAAATTCCGAGAAGGAACAAAATAGCATTCTTAGGGCATTTTATAAGAATTGAAAATATACTTTATCGATAATTGTTAATATCTATATCTGAACAGTTGTAAAGTACTCGTATTGACAAACTCTCAATCGTTATTTTGCTCTTTCTGTTCATTAAGTAGCTGCTGTTATTTCTGTTAAAAGTTTCCAAATAATTTCTAGGGAGACGAGAAAGGGGAAGCTACTCCAATGAGTGATGATGGTTCTAAGAAAGAGAAAGAAGAACAAGATGATAATGTGACAGAACAAACCCATCATATAATAATACCTAGTTATTCAGCCTGGTTTGATTATAATTCAATACATGCTATAGAAAAACGAGCATTACCAGAATTCTTCAACGGCAAAAATAAATCAAAATCACCAGAAATGTAAGTAAATAATTGCTTTTGGTCATAAGTCCAGTGGCGTGGTTTCAGTCTCCGGTATATCTGTTTTCTCCAGGTCCTCCAGTTTCCTCCAATGACTACAGATCCCTATTTCAAAACATTTTTTCACAATATTTTCTTGTATTTTCAGTTTTTTGGCATATCGTAATTTTATGATAGATACCTACAGATTAAATCCAACAGAATATTTAACAAGTACAGCATGTAGAAGAAATCTGGCTGGTGATGTCTGTGCAATTATGAGGTAAGGAACAATAAAAATCATCCAATCAGTAAATGTCCAGCTTGCTCTTACATTTCATTCTGAATCCCTTCTTTTTCTAAGCGAAACGAGGGGTTGGATGGCCGAATGGTAGGTACGTGCGCTGTGTCATAAGGTTTGTCATTGAGTCAACTGGCAGGGTTTCAATTCCCCGGTTGTATGTGACAAGGAGTAATGTCGTCTGTCCAGCCTCGTGGGTTTTCTCTTGGTCCTCCGTTTTCCTCCCACTGCTAAAAAAAAAATCTCTCTCTCTCTCTCTCTCTCTCTCTCTCTCTCAGCAAAACCCTCTCAATTAAAATCAAAGTGCCAATTTAGTAGATGAAAGTTACCTTTAAAATTTGTATTATATTTTAGAGTTCATGCTTTGTTAGAACAGTGGGGTTTGATTAATTATCAAGTAGATGCCGATTCAAGACCTACATGTATGGGACCACCTCCTACTTCTCATTTCCATATTATTGGTGATACACCATCAGGTCTAGTACCTATTAACCCTCCTAGACTTAATCAGGTAAATAAATAATAATTATCTCACATCTTAGTAAATTATTGAAATGTACTTCTTTCTGGCAACCAAGGACAGCGTCAAGTCGTTCGGATGACACGAAAAAAATGAAACCCTGTATACGTAAAAGAACCCTTGACAGATAGAATTCGATATTATCGTAGGCCGTAGTGTGGCTCTCTGGGCAAAGTTTCCTTCATAGCACAATGTATGGTAAAAACCTGTCTTCCTTAGCCCAGTCGATGCAAAAAACTAGGACATTAGGTTGTCATATGATAAATAGTCATGGACACTTGACATGCTTTGAGAGTATGTTCACAGATGAAGAACTTATCGCCCCAATAGAATCACTGAGCTGCGCATGCAACACGCAATAGTGCCATACACGTGGGAGGGGCTCATTGTCAAATTTGACACTTCAAGGAAGGGTTGATGAAAACTGCCGCGTGCTGGTTTATCTATCCATGTTTGCTTTCCTATCGGTTTTTGCATAAGATTTACTGTTTAGCAGATCTTTGCTTTAATGTGTTACGTTTATTTTGATCGGAAGACGTGTTCACCGACTGTCAACGTCAACCGACAACACTGCAAGAATTGGCCGTGGCACTGCAAGAGGAGTGGGTCAGATTTCCCCAAATCGTGATTGGACGGTTTATTAGGAGCATGCCACGACGAATTGCTGAATGTCTGAGGATCGGTGGAGCAATTACTCATTATTAAAACAAAAATCAAAAACTTCCATTTTCACTTTTGAAAGTGTATCTCTTTGGGAGTGAAACGGGGTCATCAGATAAGCCGCCCATATGAACTGTTTATGTTCATGTGTAGGCAATTGGCCTGTTATTAACATACACTGGTCACCTCTAATAAAAACAGCAGTGCATTTCTGCAGTTTTGTATTGTTTCTGAATATCCCCTACTTTTTTTGAGGAGTACATATTAAGAATTGCTACAGTTCAAATGTTTGTAGATGATGTCTTTGTGTAATTGGAAGAAATGTGTTTTGATTGGTCATTTATCATGGACATTATGATCATCTCTTATTTTTTTAGCCATCAGCAGCTCAACAGATAGTAGATCTCGATAAAAATAAAGATAAAGAGGACAGTAGTAAAGATATGTCTAGTTTTGGTCTCAAAACAGATATTTATGCCAAAAAAGCAATGAAGGTTTGTAGAAAAATTTTATTTCATATTTTCACAGTATGATTATTAAATGATAAATACGAATAAGTTTTAACTATAATACAAAAGTATGACAATATTTATTAACTGTAAGACGGCAAATCTGAAAGTATATTAATATTAAGTGCTTGTTCTTCTGGCTAAGTGGGTAAGACGCTGGCTTGCTATCCTGGAGGTCGGGTGTTCGATCCCTGCATTGGCTGAGAAAGTTCATCCAGATTTTCAGGCTTGGTTTTCCCTTGTCAGTGATGCAGGACGAGGGGCCTGACAAGGACAGCTGTATAGTCGTCCGGATGGTACGAAAAACTGAGGTCCCGTTCACACATTGGCATGCACGTAAAAGATCCCTTGATATAAGAGTAGGCCGTAGTGCTGCTGTCCGGGCAAAATTTCCCTCATAGCACATTGTATGGCATATGCCCGTCTTCATTAGCCCAATTCGGAGCAGAACAACAGTAGGACGTTAAACCCCATTTCATTTCATTTCTTTCTAATTGAACAAACTTTATTTGGAAAAGACTGTATTAAAGAGAGAACGTTCAAGGATGTTTACATATAGTGGGTTGGGTTGCCAAGTGGGTTGATTCCAATCTTTTACGTGGGTTTTCCCAGGTTCTCACGTATCTTACCACTGCCAAGACCCCAATGCACATGCAAATTATTGAGATAAGGATGTACCATGTGTTAGTCTCTCTTATTAAGTAAGTAAATCAAGAATGTGTTATGTAGAAAGGGCAGGGTTTTCAATACATGTTTCTTTGATTTTGCGTAGGGTTGTCACGATTAATCGGTTTAGTTGTAGTTGATTATTTTTCTAGCTCAAACCGATTCACATTTTGCGTGGTCCAAAACTCAGTATTTAACTTTATTCTGGAACATGGAGCTTTAATAAGAATGTTGAATTTAATGACAATTTGTACAATTTTGTGTTGATATTACAGGATAAAAATCCAGCTTTAAGAAGTAGAGAATGGACAGATCAAGAGACATTATTATTATTAGAAGCTTTAGAGATGTATAAAGATGACTGGAATAAAGTCTGTGAACATGTTGGTAGTCGAACACAAGATGAATGTATTCTACATTTCTTACGACTACCTATAGAAGATCCTTATCTCGAGGAAGATTTTGGCCATCTTGGTATGGAATTATGATATATTTAACTGATTTTACGGTGTCGATAAACAATATTTTCAATTTTGTATTTTAATAGTTATAATATTGCTTATTTGAAACTCGAAATGTTCATCCCAAAATATATCTCTCTCACTTATAATTATCAAACCCCTGCAGAAATAAAAATTGAATTGGTTGCAAATTTAAGTCTTTACAAAACTATTTACAATGTTCTTATTTATGGTTAAAATTGGAACAACAGTTCTTCAGAAACAAATTCATTACGATAAGAGGATACTTGTTGAAATGTCATGCTTTTAGAATTAAACCAGTGATAGTTTCCCATAAAAATTGTGTTCTGTTGAATTCACCGATTTTGGAGGAAGAAATTAACATTCTGGCCATAATTTAATAAAGTTTTTATACATTTATCTTCTACATAATTCTTAATTTTACAGGACCATTGACATATCAACCAATACCTTTCTCACAGAATGGTAATCCTATCATGTCCACAGTAGCATTCCTAGCATCAGTTGTTGATCCCAGAGTTGCTAGTGCTGCTGCCAGATCAGCCTTAGGTAAGTTATATTTAAATCCTAATTCTAAAAGAAAATGTTCTCAAAAGAGTCCTTCTCATAGTGTTATGTTGATAAAATATTGAATCCCCTGCCATTCTGTAAAGAAGCATTCCCATAGTATTTTATACCTATTGAGAATGGGAGGCACAGTGGCTAGGTGGTTAAGAAACTGGCTCGCTAGCCTGGAGGTCAGGTGTTAGATCCCTGCATTGGCAGAGAAAGTTCATCTGGATTTTTCGACATGGTTTCCCCTTGTCAGGGGTGCAGAACGGAGGTCCCGTGTATACATTGGAATGCACATAAAAGGTCCCTTGGCAGTTGGAATTCGATATAAGAGTAGGCGATAGTGCCGCTACCCGGGCAAAATTTCATTAGGCCAGTATAGGAGCAGAACAGTAGGACGTTAAACCCCATTTCATTTCATTTCAATTCCTATTGAGAATGACTCAACAGAAAACTTTTCTGGGAGCTTGCATTTTCTGGTGATTGCCTCTTTGATGGCTCTAATAATTATTAAGGTAATGAAATTATTGTCCTTTATTAAAAAGTATTTTGTATTCTGATATTTTGCCTTATTTTCTATAGATGAGTTTTCTAAAATGAAGGATGAAGTGCCACCCACGTTAGTTGAAGCTCATTCTAAAATGGTACAGGAAGCAGCTAAAGAGAATAAAGAAGTAGATATAAAAACGGCGTTAGAGAAGAGTGGTATTGCTGGTACTGAACCAGAAGTTAAAGAATGTAAGTCCCTTTTAATACATTTCATACTTTTTATTAGAATATGATGATTTTCTGATCTGTGTACATCGATCATTTCATGTGTTCTTGTTAAGGGCATTCCTGATTCTGAAATGTTCACTGAGATTGATAGTGTAAGATTCTGTCAGTCCTGTTGCGGTCTTTGTGGTGTGAGTACTGAGCAGAATTTTTTACAGTCAGACACAGCCAATATTTTTTCTTGTATTAACGATATTTTTATTCAGTAAATATCTTTCTTATGTGTGACCCCTTTCTCTAATTTGTATGATGGTGATAGTCTTATCTAATTGGTGCCTTTCAAGCATTTCGAAGCATGTTACAGTTACAGGTTTCAAAGTTAATATAACATACAATTTTGATAGATTTATATATGAGCATTACATGTTCTTTCAATTTCAGTAATTGATAGTGTAGATTCCCTTGATTGGGAACCTTTTTACATACTTAGATTTTTAGATTATTTTTAATTAACTTCTTCTGCAGCTGAACCAAAGGTAGAAGGTGAACAAGAAGTTAAAACAGAGCCTTCTGATGAGACTAAAACAGAAGTAAAACAAGAAAAGAAAGACGACGAAGAAAAGGTACAATTTGAAAATGTGTCTGTAAAGAGTTTTTATACGCCCACTTTGAAATGTGGTTGTTAATTGTCGTCACCACCATCTGTCTGACCGGCCCATGGACGCTCTAGAGGCTAAAGTTAATTTCTGTTTGACTTTAAATTTATACATGGTGTTTAAGGCCAAAAGATAAAGAATCCTATTGATTTTCAACGATTTTCGATGATTACTGCCAGAGTTACTTCCCTTGATCACTTTGAAATATCTTGTGGACCTCTAGAGGCTAAAGTTAATATGGCCCTTGATCACTTTGAAATATTTTGTCGACGCTTGAGAGGTTAAAGTTAATATCTGATTGACTTTAAATTTTTACACAGTGTTAGGGCCTCAAGATAAAGAAGCCTATAGATTTTCAATGATTTCCAATAATTACTGCCTGAGTTATGACCAATGATCACTTGTGGATACTCTAGAGGCCAAGATTAATATCCGATTGTGATGAAAAAGAGTTACATTCCTTGATATTAAATGTTTTGTATACTAAACATTAGTATAGGGCAGAACTAGAAGCCAAATAGATTGTTACTCGTAATCAGATTTTAGTGTGTTGTAAATGTTTTCATTACTGACAAAATGTGCCACAACCCTTTTGACTGCCTGTTTCATTGCCCAACAACCTGTCCTCTGCTTTTTTAATACTAGCTTCAAGTCTGTCAATTTCATTTCTGTCTTTTTTTTCTCCTGATCTGTTCAGTAAACAAGAGACTTTATTTGTATCAGCCAGTCATGTCAAATGACTATATCCCTGAACCAATTATAGTAACTCCTGTATGATTCTTGCCATACTTCCCTGTTAAACAAAGCCCTATAGACCAATACAAACAATTTTTTGTCAATTAGTTTATGTGATCTGAACTGATTCAAAGAACTTATTATATCAAAACTATAACATATTATTACACATGTTATATCAAAAATAATACCAAATGTAATTGACATCTGATTTGAATCTCATTTGCTTCCATAAATTTAAAATGTATCAAAATACAATACCCTAGTATTCCATGTTTTTCAGAAAGAGGAATCCATGGAAACTGATGAAAAAGAAAAGACTGCAGAGAAGAAAGATGAAGAAAAGGTGGATGAAGACAAAGAAAAATCAGAGGAGGTGTGTACATTTTTTATAGACTGAATGTTTGGGAAACCCTCTGGGTCTACCTGAAGTATTTAAATAGAATGTATCGGTGTAATGTCAGTATGAAAATTGCCATGTCTGGAAAATATGTAAGGGTTGGAAAGGCATTTATGAGATTACAAGTGAATCCAATTATTCAAGATTTCAACCTTCAAAAGGTAATATTTTAATTTGTATTATATTTTAAATTTTCTAGAAGAGTGAGAAAGAAGGGGAAACAGAAGAGAAAGAGAAAGAAGATAAAGAAAAGACAAAAGAAGAGGAGGAAAAAGTAGCAGCATTTAAAGAAAAAGATGGTAATTTATCATCAGCTGCAGCAGCAGCACTAGCAGCAGCTGCTGTTAAAGCCAAGGTTGGTCCATAAATTGTTTCATTTGATGTGAAGGATAGAAAGGGGTTTAACACATTTTGGGACTACCTGAAAATTGTTTCTATGATTTTTGTGCAATTATAAGATGGAGAAATTCAACTGTTAGGGATCCATCCATCCAAAGAACTAGAGAACTATATCCAGACTTAAAAAAATCCTTAATGTTCTTTTCAGGCCAACCAGAATGGAGGAACAAATATCTCAGACATATCATACTTCAATTAAGTCCATTAAAAACATTAAAGATTATACATATAGAGAATCTCCTACCAGTCTTTTTTGATATCAAAAAATATCAACACAAGTTGATAAAGTAACAAAAAACGAGGCTCTACTGAGTTTTTTTTACTTTATCAACGAGTGTTGATATTTTTTGATACCAAAAAAGACGAGTAGGAGATTTTATTTATCACCCAATCCCTTCTTACATGCACAAATAGATAAATATAATTCTTTGCTGTAGATTTCACTTTTACTGAACATTACGGCGTAGTGATACATCATTTTTTGACAGCAATTCAACCATTGCAAAGTCCTTTATATTGACCCAGTGTTTCCATCAAGGTCAATTGAATAACAATAGTTCATTTTTAATAAAACAAAAGGTACTTTTAATAAGAAATGAACAGTTCTTTGAAAATAAAAAAAAGTAGTTCCTTTCCAACTGACTAATCAAATTCATGTAAAGCGATGTAGATTATGAAATATATCACACAAGCGATATCTACTGTAGAATGTATTATACGTGTATATTAATGATAATATTATTTTATTATAGCATCTAGCAGCAGTAGAAGAAAGAAAGATTAAGAGTCTGGTAGCATTATTAGTTGAAACACAGATGAAGAAGCTAGAGATAAAATTACGCCATTTTGAAGAGCTAGAAACCATCATGGATAGAGAAAGGGAAGCAGTAAGTATAAAACAATCAGAATTCAAAAAACAAAGTAACCAACTATACAAAATACTATAATCTATTAAAAATAGTATTTACAGTCACCGCTGCCACAAACTTAAAAAATGATAAAAAAAAATAAAAAAGTGTTAAGTTTTTATGTTTTCAAACTTTCAAGTTATGTTGTAAATTGTAGAAAATAAAAAAAACTCTTTTCATCTACAGTTGGAATATCAACGGCAGCAATTATTACAAGAAAGACAACAATTTCATTTAGAACAAATACGAGCAGCTGAACATCGAGCTAGACAGATAGCCATGCAGCAGATAGCAACAGAACAACGTCAACAATCTTCACAATTCACAGGTGGATCTAGTAAGTTAATGTCGTATTCGAGTTTGAATTGAATATGCAACTTTTTGTTTTACAGGGAGGTAACTCTGTAAATTGTCCTTCAGACCATATTACCTCCCCTTAGACCACAAATTGCGAAGTTATTCCACATTCAAACTTTCTCAATTTTCTCCATAATTAGGGAAGGGTTAAAGATACATTAGTTAAGAGTTTTATAAAGAGTTGGCCATTCTTGCTATAATATTTCAAAAATAGATGATAAAAAAAAGAAAATGTTGAAAATTTCAGTCAAATTACTTTATCTGAACTGAATTGTCACTGTTAGAAGTTTGGACTAGAAATGAGCATCAATTCTGTCTTCACCGTCTATGAGAATTGGCGATCGTTTGATTGACAAACGATAATTCCACCCACATATTCTCGATTATCAAGTAACATGCTCAATGGCTATGGTAGCCTCGCTTGGCAGGCTTTTCATCACCAGTTTCCGGTTGTGACATCAGCGAATAATGGTAAACTTTAGCTTGGTCCGCCATTTATTGATTTAATTTTAAATGGACGAGACTGTTTAAATCCAAACCGTATCCAAGCCATCCATGGGTCTACAGAGTTGATTTTAAACTTGTCGTGTAAATAAAGGTCTAATTAATAATTTCTACAACATCTGAAGCCTAAATAAAAACATGCAATAGGCAGCTTTAGCTCTTGTATAATGTATGTTTAAGCAATTGTATGTTTATTGTTGAATGATGTTTGGGTAATAGGTTGCCACTATGGCTACACAAACTAACACACTGAACAGGATGAGTTGTATGAGCACATTATCATTAAGACATAGTGTAACAAAAGGTCCATTGCGTATGTTTGGCAGTTTTAGTTCTGGAATCTTATCTTGTCCCTTTTTCCTGAATTTTACACAATTGAAGTTCACATAGGTAAATTTTTGTTGTAATTGTGTACAGTAGTGTTAACAATTATAAAAATTGCAGCTGTTACAAATCTTCTCGTTTCCGAATTGATCATAAATATTGTTTATGCTTTCAGGTCCTCAACAACCTAGTCCTGGTGGAACATCTGGTCCTAATTCTGCCTCCCAGAATCCCAATCTAGCTGCAACTGTCGGTCAGGGTAACTACCCTATGCATGGTTCTCCCATGCCACCCCAAGGTCCAACAGCTCAAGCATCAAACTCTCCTGCACCGCCACCACAGCCATCTGGATCATCAACGCCGCAACCCCCACCTACAACACAATCTTTCCAACCAGCTGGACAGACACAGCAGCTACCACCAGTCTCCCAGTCAGGACCATCACAACAGTTCCCACCAGTTCCTCCTACATCTTCGTCTCAACCACCACCTCAGCAATCTTATCCTCCAGTATCGCAAGGTCAAGGATTTCAAACACAGCCTGGTCACGGAGGACCTTATCCACCAAACTCTATGCCCCATTCTGGGGGACCAATGCCACCAGGAGCTCCAGGTCAGGTGCCTCATCCACAGTATCCTCAGATGTCTGGTCCAGGACCTCAGCATCCTCATCCTCAGATGGGAGGTTCTGGCCCTCAACAACATCCTCCCATGCAGGGTCCTCCACAACATATGATGTCAGGTGCTCAACCACCATATCAATATCCATCAAATCAGGGTATGCCTCCACAAGGCTATCCAGCTTCAGGCCATGCCTTTCCTCCTTATCCCCCTCAACAGGGTGCCCCAGGCCAGTACCCTCCTCCTCCAGGACAGGGCATGCCACCCCAGTGCACCCCACTACCTGCTTCAGGCAGAGCTGGGCCACCTGGTAAGAATGGTGTCTGAATGTTGTTATCTTTTCACTTATTGTTTTGTTGCTTCACTGTTTTTCTTGTCTTGTTGCGTTCTCTAACATCTTGGTTGGATCTTTTTTCATCTAATATTTTCACAAATAATTTCTTACTCTCTCCATCACAAACCACTACTGACAGCTTCACATTACTAAAGGTTTATGAAATACATTTGCAAATGCATATGTGTACTTATTTCTAACCCTTCAATATCAAATTCTAGAATTATCTGAGTATTATTTAGTTCATTATTTGAGGAGTTCACATTGCTAATAAATTTTGGAATGCAATAAAATGGTAAGCAATGTAAGTAGGTGCTTGACACAGTCCGAAACACTCTGAATTGACAAAATTTCTATTAAGTGATGTTCATCCTGCCATTCCTGAAAACAGATGTGGTGTGATGTAATCAAACATTTTAGCTTTGAGACATGATAATATATTCATAAGACAATTTTTGTTTTAGTGGGGGTCGGGGGGGGGGGGGGGGAAGGGAGAGGGCAGTGTCGGTAAGATGGTGCTAAATCAGAACTAGAGTAAGTACTAAAGATGCAGGTTTTGAATACAATTCTTTAATTCTGATCAGAATTTGATATAAGAATAAATATTTTTTGGCTTAAACATGGGAAAATATATACTTGGTAACTATCTAATTTCATGTTCTGTGTTTTTTTTGTATGTTTTATGTTGGTATTATTTCTGTGAGTATTTTTTTCTAACTTGTTTTGTTTGCGAGCATGTTTGGTATGAATGCTAACCTCACCCCTTTCTAATCTCTGTGCCAAATAAATTCTACTCTTTATAAATTCTTATTGTGATCTGCAATTCTTTCCAACTTTCATTTTCTTTGGTGTTTCAATTAAAAAATTTGTAATCATTCTCTATTTACATGAACTATTTTTTCTGTGTTGTAAAAATTTAAATATAAGAAAGGCTTGAGTTTTCCCTTTTCTTGACAACATGCATATATGTCTTACTAAATTGCATCAGGGTAATACCCTCTCACCTAATAGGAATAATCCTAATAAGAAACAGCTTAAATTACCCTTGATATCTATAACAATTGACTGCTATGAATGGATATGATTGATGGGCACATGGTTGAAATCCCTTCGAATGAAACAGTATGCAGTTTGTTGAATGAAGTTACCTGTCTAAATAATACAATTAATATTTGAGGGGTGTCTATGTGTGGTGACAGTACATGTGGCAAGAAATGATTAGCAACCATCCTATAAAATTGACCTTCCCAACTAATAAATATCCAGGGTTTCATAGGACCACCATCCACAATTATTCCTAAAGACTAAGTAAAATGGAAATTATTGTTTGCTACTAAAAGGAGTTGCACCAAATTCAGATCTATTATCATTAATATTATTACCTTGCTAATAATCAGTAATTTAAAGATACATTATTGGAGATTAGATAAAAGAGCTAACAGTTCTCACTATAATAGTTAAAAACTAGATAATGTAAAGAGAATTTGCTGAAAATTTCAGTCAAATTGATCCACTCTGAACCAAGAATTTAGCGATTGAATTTTTGGCCTAGCCTCGATCATCATTACTAAAGTCGGTACGATAAAAAACAGTCTTGATTATCTATTTTATGATTAAATCATGAATGAAAGTTGAACAGCAAATCGGATCCTAATCCAGTAAATGTTGCAGGCTAGCGATATCGAGAGTTGATTATGATCTGGATAATTCATAATTTAGATAACATTTCAGGCCTAAAGAAAGACCTGAAATAAGCAGATTTAGCTCTTGCATAATGTATGTTTAATTGAGTTTAATTTATGATCAAAACACTGAATATTCATAATTCAGTCTTTTCCTTTGAAATTGAAACAAAAATAAGGTGAACAATAATTTCCAATTTAGGAGTTTATATTTTGATGCCTCTTTGTACACATTTAACACAATAACATGTATTTTGTCATATTTAGTAATAAATCATTAATTATTGTTTTTGATAATCATTATCATTGTTGTTTAAAATGTTCTGGAATATCAATAAAGAAATACATTATAGTCAAATAATATTTGGTAAATAAAACTGGTTTCATTTACAATTTTAGTGGTTAGAGAAAAATTATATTTAAGTTATTAACATTGTGTTAATTATTTTATTTATTTTTTTTATAGGTCCAATGAATCCTGACGGTAGTGACATGATGAACCCAGGTCAAGGTCCACCACCCACGAGTAAATAAATCGAATCTCGCCATTGTTATCATAATATATATCTGTACATAAGACACATTGTCATAGTTTACATCTTCAACATGAGGCTTATTTCTTGCTACTGCAATTACCCTGTCAGTTCATCTAACAAAAGCGAGCTGAAGTAACATTTAATTCAACACAGTTGATACGAATATACTATGCCTGGGAAGGAGGCAGGGGTGGGTGCCCCAAATTTTGAAATAAACACTTAAAGGTACCTTTTTTTCTACCAATTGCAATCCCTAATGAACAAATGAAGGAAAATTAACTTCGACCAACTGCATTTTTTACCTTATATATATGTCCATTAAATCCATATGAATTGTAGAATTATATTGCAGTGGTAATTAATGTTAAGTTTTACATTCATTTGATTCATCTTGAAACAATTATAGTGCTGTATTAAAATGAAGATTGAGGGCATTTTATTTTATCATAGATTTTCTTTGTATTTTTTCTACATTTTAGCCAAAATGATAAAGATGTCATCATAATGTATATTTTTGCCTAGTGTCAGTGTTGTCAATGTTTATAATAGTTTAATATCATGGGCTGTTAGTATCATCATCTATACATATTCATTACTTCATTAAAGAAAAGCCAGATTTTCACAATCAAATATCTGTTTATATCTTGTATTAAAGACGTGACATTATCATTTCGAAAATGTGAACTCAATAATGCAGGGAGGTTAAGTAATGTAGTCTTTATCATTCCAGCCTATATTTTCCACACATTAGATTCAGGCGAATAATACTAGATCTTTGTATCATCTGGAGAATATCTTTCTCCAGGGTTCGGGTTAGGTTTATAAATTACATGTCAAACGTACAAATTGAAGCTGTAACAACGGTGGATTGTGGGTAAAACTATTCTGAAGGGTTAGGGTTAGAATTGTGGGTATAAACACTGACAGATATTCTCCAGATCGGTCAAGATCCAGTAGCGTGCGATTCAGGCAGCATTTCGCATTAGGAGTTACGTGAACAGCTCGACAACCATTTACCATAAAAGTAATGAACGCTACCTCCCCCCCCCCCCCACTAATATTTTCGTTGTTGTCGAAACAAAGACGATATAGGGTGGAATGATCGAGACTATAATGGAAACAAAAGTTAACTGTGTATTAAAGTCTTAGATTGGAAAACATATTTGTTGCTGAAAACATATTTTGCTAGCTAAGAATGGGCCCATTCGGCTTCAAATCAAAAAATACGCTGCCAATCCTCACTTAGTGGTAAACGGAATGTGTGTGTGTTGCGAATAGCTACCTCACTAGCCGTGCTGATGAACAGTCTTGTACTATTAAGTTGTTAACAAATTTTCTTGTACAACTAGATTACCAACTTAATCTTGAGGCAACATATATCGTTTAAGATATTTTGTATTAATAATATTATCAATGTATAGATCTTAAATCCAGTTCGTTTACTAACAGTATTACTAATGAATTTGTGTCCAGGTATTTGACATACAGACTTATTACCCTGACCAATTGCATCATTACCTAACAAGTTCTTAGGTAAAACAGGAAAGCTATTACGAGAACTGAAAGCCCTTGATGTTCCTTTTTGGAATTACGGGGACATTTCTCATACAATCGTCAACAAGAAAAACATCAAGCACAGTAGACATCGGAAAGGCTCTTGATTTGGTTGACTTGGTATTTCATGATGTCCGCTATAGCCCTTTTGCTTCAATCGCATCCGGCGTTTGTCTTGTAGATTAATATCGTTTTAATTGAACGCAAAGATTCCAGTGGTAATGTCGTTTAAATCTACATGTTGATAAGATTATTGGTAGAATAAAAACATCACAACATCTTATTAAGTATTAAAATCAAAAGACAACACCCGTAGTGATATTGCTGTGTAAACCTTAAAGTTGTAAGTGCTGTATTAATAACGACCTGTAAATGAACTCTTTTTTTTTAAAATGCCTGTACTTTTATCACAAATATTTACGTCAAATTTTACATATTGTTATTGATTTCATACTTGTAAATTTCCATAATATCGTATAATTATAACAAAAAATAAAGCCTTATACATTATTAAGCCTTTTATTTTCAGTATATTATATTTTGGTCGATTGATCACTCACCAAAAATATTTTCTTTAAACTGTACACAGGTCAAAGATCATTGTAGACTTCAGTGCCATATTTGCCAGGGGTGTCGTTTATGTCGCAAGGAAGAGCCCTATCGAATTAAATACTTTTCGAATCGCGAATCGACTATTTATCTCCCCCAGTTACGCCCAAACCAATCTTGTGAACAGTAAACAAGACTTTATTTCCCGACGGAATATGGGATTGGTTATTGAGAAATATGGAAGACTCTATAGAAATTTAGAATCATCGCATTGCAATTTGGAACCCGAATCGGGAAGTTAACATCTACATTTTAATTTTCAAAGTTTGTCGAGGCGATGATGGACCGAGTTGATCATTGTTAACTTGTCTATTGGCATCCGCTGAAAATTTTCAAAGTTAGACCTCCGCATGTTCTATTTCCTGGATTTTGGGACTGTATGGGGGTGGGGTGGGAATCAAATAAAAAATATATAAAAAAAATCCGTCATATAGAAAGTAAAACTATGTTAATAGCACACAATTATTGACAATTCTAATTTGAAGTCTTAAGTACGGCAGATTTAGAAATTAAAATTTAGACGCGGCAAATACCATTTTCTGCACTTTGGGACATGAATTGAAAACATACGTAAAATCTGTAATCCTAACAGATAGTAAAATATACAATTGACATTTCAAAAATAAACAAATAAACTACAGGTTGAAGAAAACAAATTCACAGGATGTAGAATCCTTGCAAAATTCGTGGTAAAAGGGGGGTGGGGGGGTATTTTTATTTTTTTTTAACTCGCATAATACGTGTAAAACTAAATTTTAGCTCTTATGTTATTTTTTAATATTAAAAAGAGTATAGGCTCAAGTTCTTCACCTTGCCTTACCTACCATACAGTTTGTAACATCTCTTCTGATATCAGGTAAATAGATATACATAAAATGTAACTATTAAAATAGCAACGGTTGAAGTAATAAATCACGCGATATAGATTATTTGTATGTCACTTCTTCCATCTAGAATCAAATGCATGACGTATAGATGAAATGAGAACTCCCTCTCTTATATTTTTAATTAGCAATTAAAAACAATATAGCTGTAGGGGTTCCCCCTGTATTACGCCTTAATGCTCTTTGCATAAATCTCAGAACACCACCTAGGATCGTATATCATTGTACACAGATATTACCTATTAAAATATGTGCTTTGTATTTTTCTTCAAATGTTTAAAAAGCAAAATTAGACAAGTTATATCCAAAAAGAAATTCAAGGTATGGGATGATTTCACTTTAAAGTTATGTCTGAAACGAATTAAAATTCTTTGTATCTGGAAATTGTACATCAATTTAAATAAAATGCATCTCTATTAGAAATACGATAGGTGTGATATCTTGGCCTTTGGGAAATGACTAACCGCAACCTTATTGTTGTTGTTAGCATCTCAAAACATTAAAGCTGTGAATCATACGTTTTTATTATGTACAGTTTAAGTGCCTTATAGTTATGTGATCTCTAATATATCTTCAACCCCCTCAACAAAGACTAATTTTAAACTTTAAAATACCATTTACTCTTTAAATCTTCTAATCTTCTGTAATCGTTGCAATAAAACTTAAATATCTGCTTGTGGTCGCTTTTTCCGTGCCGTTAAATCATATCTTGTCCCTCATTTGATCTTCGTCTTTAATAATATACGAGTTAATTTCAAACCGTCAAATTTTACGAGTTAAAAGCCGTATTGGGTTTTAGTGGGATAATGATTACCAATGAAACACACCTCGGGTGAATTGACTATGCAGACCCTTACTTATCTCTCGAACAGGAGTCGTACTTCTGCGAGGTCTTCTCATGTTTCGTCGTCAAAACACCAGACATGTAATTTAATGACAATAGCAATAAGCTTTCTCTCCTATCATCATCACTCGATTGATAGAAAGACAACCGTGATTTGATTGAGCTTGTCCAGAATACCGTCTTAAACCCCCGACAATAATTTCTATATATTAATCGGCTCGTATAGGAAGATCTCGCACCTCCTGCTTTCTAGGGCATACAGCTTGATTAATACTTCTGTTTTCATCGTTTCACTCTTATTTCTAACTGTCGTTTTTTGATATTTGTGTCTTGCATGAACCTCATCATTACCTTGTCTTTAAGTAGAACTTAATTCATCATATATGATGCTCCGTGCCCTAAAGATTTTGACAGGTAGCACTTAGGACCACGGCGCAAATTTTCCTAATTACAAGGTGTGTCAACGGATACACGTCGCCGCGCAAGTCGTTGGTGCCGCCGCCGAGTAAATGGTCGAAAGTGATTCGAGAAATCACAGTGTAAGACAACCATCTGGAAGAAACCCCGAAAAAGGAATTTCCTTAGGCGTGTTGGGGAGACGTAAGGTAGAGGAAAAGCCTTGTCTCTTATCGGAGACAAGTCGTGGGATATTTCAGCTGGCAGACCTTGAGGACTGGTGCACCTGCCTAAAATAACATACAGCATGCGTGTACCTTCAAATATAGTTCAGAATCATTGTGGCATGAACATTTCAAATTTTAGATGATTATTTTTGATAAAGAATATTTCGGATTTTAATAGTTTATTTAAAAACAAAAACTGGACGCAACTAATTGCGTGCTTGGGAGTCATTTTATCACCTAATTTGTGGATCCTTTTTTTCTGAATCATGAACGATAATCGGGAATACAGATAAGCTCTCTGAACACACGTTTTCGGGAATATTACTAGAGGTTGAACACGTTTATTGTGATTCAAAATCTGATATTTTATCATTTTGTTTTGTTTTCAATTGTTCATTTTTATGTAATTTTATATCATTAAATTCAGATTTTAAAAGATCAAAGAATTTAATTCTGCACGTGCATGATTTGATGGGTATTGATTTTGTTTTCAATTTTAACTGTTTGCAACTGTAATAAATGTTATCAAGCAATAAGATAACTTTTTTTTAAAAAAAAATCCCGACAGATGAAAAAGTTTAAATATAATGTTGTATTTTTAGCATACAGGTTCTCACATAAGTAGTAATCGTGTTTTGTTTTTATTAGAATATTGTTTGTTAACAAAGCCATGTTGTTGGTTTTTGGGTTGTTTTTTTTTTTATCAATTTCTAACTCAACGAAAACTTCGGGAAAAGGAGTTGTTTCCCTTGCCACGTCGATCATGTTTTCACAAAGCCGAATCCTTCGGGAATCGATAACACATTTATAAAAGACACTTGCTTTAATAAGCCAATAATATAATCATTTGAAAAAGACTAGTTATTAATGCATTTATATTAGTTCCGTATTGCATAAGCAAAAAGAAACAAAAACATGAATAAAACAACATGCCATTGAATGACTAATTTAGAAATTAAAAAAGATTAAAATTATGCATAGAATAAAGAGGAGTTATTGAATAAATCCATTAATGAATTCTATTGTTCTTTCTGACATGTTACACGCATAAGAAGGTGTTCATCCGTAAAATAATATTCATTTTTTTATTGTTGTTAGGTGCGATGATTCAGATTGATTATCTTAATTTAAAAGCAAAACTAAACTTTCTGTACTTTTTGATATTCATTCCAAGTTACGACTCTACCTGCTATCACGCAACAATAACAGCCATTGTCCTTTTTTTCCATTCCTTTTTTTTGAAAACAAAAACACCAATCTCTGTGTATTTCATGTCTCCGGGTCTCTTGTAAGTCAATGAAAAACCATACATTTATTGAAACCATGGCTGCACTTTTGTTAGATAACATGGCGAATTTCAAAAATCAATTAAAGAATTCTTTTATTATCAGAACAGATTCATTAATAGTTGGGCTGCAGGTAACCAAGTTTATTAATGACATAATAAAATTGTTGTCATAATGAAAACAAAACTATTGGAAAAAACCTGGGGAAGTCTACAGCATGCGTCAAAGGCTTTCGGGTTCGGTTTATATCTGTCACCCGCGAAGAATGTGTTTTTCTCGTTTAGCTTCCGTGCCTTACTGGAAGCATGACGGGTTCCTAACGCCTATCGCTTTTATAAACGAATAGGCAGATAAACAGCGACAGTCACTTGTGATTTATTTTCTATTGCCAGTTTAAGTTTCCACTCATCCAGACATCGAATTGCAATTAGAGCTTTAGTCGAACTTGAAAGAAGCCAAAGACCGTGTTAAGGGTATTGTTTTCACAATATAGTTGCTAGTTTTTATTTCGATCGTCGGGGTTACGGATTTGATATGTACATGTAAAAAGCTTCCTGGACAAATTCGATATATTGAACGCTGATCAATAAAAGATCGTTGAATCTATGTCATGGGTACATTGCAATGTCTATATAGTCTGCATAGTACAAAAAGCGACCTACACGAAGAGATTTACTGCGCTTATCATGCAAATCTAAATGGCCTTTCTGCGAGGAATTTGGCGAGATAACGTCATGTAATTGCTCTGAGATTTTCCCCCCATTTCGTGTAATTACTGGCCCTGCATGTTGCATTCCGAATAAATGTTCGAGAGATTGTTTCATTATAGGAAATATGACTCTAATTATATTGCTATGTCAGGTGGCTGTTTAAAGGCTGATTGTTTGATGTCATTTTATGAGTTTGATCTGTTTCTATGGTTCGGTAGCCGCGGTGGCTCAGTGAGTAAAGTGCCGGCACACCAAGCAGGGGGTCCGCTGATGATCGAGAAAGTGCCGAATGATTTTCCAGCGTTGTATCCCTTGTCAGTGGTACAAGACAGGGGTTCCGGCAAATGCAGCGTCTAGTGAATGAAATTCGATATAAGAGTAGGTCGTAGTGCCGCTGTCCGGACAAAATTTCCTCACAGCACACTGTATGCCGTATGTCCATCTTCATTAGCCCAGACGGAGCAGAAAAGTAGGACTTTAAACCCCATTTCGTTTCATTTTGATTTTATGATACAAGTAGGGCACTGCACTATCGCCCCCAGGGCATGGTATTT